AACTCTATTAGCCTTTGCCCTGCTTCATTCTGTACTCCAAGGCCAAATTTGCCTGTTACTCCAGGTATTTCTTGACTTCCTACTTTTGCATTCCAGTCCCCTATAATGAAAAGGACCTCTTTTTTGGGTGCTAGTTCTAGAAGGTTTTGTAGGTCTTCCAAGAACCATTCAACTTCAGCTGCTTCAGCATTACTTGTCGGGGCATAGACTTGGATTACTATGATATTGAACATTTTGCTCTGGACTTGAACAGAGATCATTCTGTCATTTTTGAGATTGTATCCAAGTACTGCATTTCGGACTTTTTTGTTGACTATGATGGCTACTCCATTTATTCTATGGGATTCTTGCCTACAGTAGTAGATATAATGGTCATCTGAGTTAAATTCACCCATTCCAGGCTATTTTAGTTTGCTGATTCCTAACATGTCAATGTTCACTCTTGCTATCTCCTGTTTCACCACTTCCAGTTTGCCTTGATTCATGGACCTGACATTCCAGGTTCCTATGCAGTATTTCTCTTTACAGCAGCGGACTTTACTTCCATCACCGTCACATCCACAATGGGTGTTGTTTCTGCTTTGGCTCCATCTCTTCATCTTTCTGGAGTTATTTCTCCACTGATCTCCAGTAGCATATTGGGCACCTACTGACCTGGGGAGTTCATTTTTCAGTGTCCTACCTTTTTGCCTTTGCATACTGTTCACGTTTGGGTGTCTCCTGCGGAGGTCCGGGTCAGCAGTGGTCTGCCGCAGGGACAGGGGCTCGGGGTGCAGCAGACCTGGGTATGGCATAAGCCCTCTTGGAGGAGGCCACCATTAACCCCACCAAAGAGCTGCCAGAACTTACACAGGACTGGGAAATAGACTCTTGGCGGGCACAGACAGAACCTTGTGCACCAGGACGCAGGAGAAAGGAGCAGTGATCCCACAAGAGACTGACCCAGGCTTGACCGTGAGTGTCCAGGAGTCTCTCGCAGAGGCGTGGGTCGGCAGTGGCCGGCTGCAGGGTTGGGGACACTGAGTGTAGCAGTGCTGCAGGGGACCTTTTGAAGGAGGTGACATTATCTTCATCGCCTCCACCTTAGTTTGGCCTCAGGTCAAGTAACAGGGAGGGGACACAGCCCCACCCTTCAACAGAAAATTGGATTAAGGATTTACTGAGCATGACTCCGCCCAGCCCATCGAACAAGACCCAGTTTCCCCCTCAGGCAGACTCTCTCATCAGGAAGTTCTATAAACCTCTGATCCTTCTCCATCAGAGGACAGACAGACTGAAAATCACAATCACAGAAAAGTAATCAGTCTGATCACATGGACCACAGCCATGTCTAACTCAGTGAAACTATGAGCCATGCTGTGTGGGGCCACCCAAGATGGATGGGTCATGGTGATGAGGTCTGACAAATCGTGGTCCACTGGAACAGGAAATGGCAAACCACTTCAGTATTCTTGCCGTGAGAACCCCATGGACAGTATGATGATCAGATAGTCTCTACTTTTCATTTCAAGAAGGAGGGGAGATCCTCAGATGAAAGGTGTGGGGAGGGGCAGTGGCAGGGGGCGCGATGGCGAGGAAAGTGCGTGCACATGCCGTCGCTCCTGGTGGGGGTATTTGCAGAAACGTATCAAAGTTTAAAGTATGGTGAGCAGCAGTGAGGATTCAAATGAACCTGGAAACCTTGAAGAGGTAGTAGTACTAAGTCTGTGAGCTTAGCGACTTGCTTTTTTGATAATGGAATGTCTTTTTTTTTTTTTTGCAAAACAGGGAGAGAGCACAGGAAGGGAAGGAAAGTTAGATTCAGTGGCACTGAAAGAAAAGTTACCATTTCACCTGGCTACCATTATTTAAAAATGACTGTCATCACAAAATAGAAAAAAATATTTTTTTAAAAAAACCTCACCAAATGCAGTTATTTTTAATAAAACCCTCTAACGACTTGAGGATAGAATAAGAGCCAAAAAATTAAAAACAAAACAGAGTTCTTCATAACAGATGAACTCTAATCATTTGATTTTTCAAAAATGGCATATCCCCTCCCATACTTTAAGAAGCATTGCACAAGCTTTAATTGATTTAGAATCTTGAATGAACTGTTATATAATTGAATATGCCACAAAACTGACTGAAAAATGGGAATTTTTTGCCTTCACCAAAATGAGGATGTGGCTTTCCAGTAATCCCAGAAGTGCTGTATGTGGAGGCACATAGGGATGGGAAGTAGAGAAATCAGAGGTTATGCATACCACTCAAGGTTTCAAGGTTTCTCTTAATACCTGCATCCTGAGAATTTCTGTCTGCAATAGAACAATCCGTGGCCTCCTAAATCGATGCATTTTATTGGCAAAAAGCCAAAGGATGATTGGCTTCAGATCTGTTTTTTAAACAGTTATTTAAACAGTTAATAACAGACCTGTTATTAAAACAGCCCTTAGGCAGATATTCACTGGGCAACAGGGACGCCCATGAGGACGATTCAGCATAGGCCTAGGATGAGCCCGGAGGCTGGTTGGGAAGATCACCAAGGAACCAAGGTCCCTTCAGTCGCCTGGAGGGATGTTTCTGCATTTTACTCACTTTGCCTCCGAGAAAGGCAATTAGCCTGAACCTCTCAGTTTTGTCAAGTGGAAAACCTAAGAAATTCATCAAGAAGGGAGTATCATTATGAAAATTATTTTCCCATGAAACTCTTAAACACTAGCACACTTCTCCGCATTAGAAATGTCGTCTTAACGCCCATTAAAAAAAATCGGTGAAACCATATGGCTCAACTTCTGCCATCATACAGAATCTGAGCATCTGTGTGGTTTCAACATTTTTTCTTTAAATAATTTTTAAAATCATAAAAGTAACAGTTACACATGGGAAAAATCCAAACATTATACAATGAAAAAATGTTCTTCCCAAAGCCATGAGACTTCCCCCTCGAAGCGAGATGAGTCCCCATCCAAGATGCGTAAAATCAGCACTGCAAACAGCACTTGAGTGTCTCTGCCAAGCACTGTCTGTGACACTTGTATCCCTTTGTTTTTAGTCTATATACATTTCTGGGAGATAGTGACAGGCAGGGAAGCCCGGTGCGCTGCAGTGCACGGGGTCACAAAGCGTCAGACCTGACTTAGTGAGTGAACAGCAGTATTGTTTTGTATGGTGGTGATGTTTTCATTTAAGGACCTATCTTGGGAGTCTTTGCATGGTAATAGCTAGATAATATTAATAATGATGATATTAATAACTATTACTTATTTTCTATAGGCAACACACTATAAGATTAACTTGTTTTATATTATTTAATCCTCTCAAAAACTTTGGGAAGCACGTATATGTACATGTGAAAGTCCCTCAGTAGCGTCTGACTATTTGCAATCCCTGGTGAGCCTGTAGCCTGCCAGGCTCCTCTTTCCATGGGATTCTCCAGGCAAGAATGCTGGAGCGGGTTGCCATTTCCTCCTCCAGGGGATCTTCCTGACCCAGGGATCGAACCCAGGTCTCCCACATTACAGGTGGATTATTTACCGTCTGAGCTACCAGGGAAGTATGCTTTATTGTTATTTACCATTTTGGAGATGAAAAAATTGAGGCAAAGAGAGAATACAAAATTTTCCCCAGGTCACACAGCTCTGGTGTTGCATCCCTGTGGTCTGACG